CAATTCTCACATCAAATAGCACAGAAAGGAAGACAAACGATTTTCAGTTCGATGACAAAGCGAAGGGACGGAATACTTCTGAAAATTAATTCAAGCGTTTAAAAACCAATCGTGGAGAATAATGTTCGATGTGTCAGCAATCCTGCAGTGGTTGTCGAGCGCCGATTAAATGTCAAACGCAGATACGTATTGTTGTTTGGGAGTGTATTTTCGAGTGTGCATTCGAAAAAGTTGGGTGATTTTCGAGGAAAATCCATTTCACTACGGCTGAGAATCTTGTCACCGTTGTTTTCACGCTTTTACAGTCAGCTGAACGGGAGAGAGAGATAGAGAAAGAGAGAGACTTAGAAATGAGTGAGTTACTAGATCAGTTAATGAGTTTTAGTGACTTAAGGAGCGAGTGAGTTTGTGGGTTAGTAAGTTAACGAGTTAATGAGTGGTTTTGTAAGTGAATGAGTGAGTGAGTGGGTAAGTTAGTGACTTCATGAGTGCATGAGTTAGTGAGTGAATGAGTGAGTTGATAAGTTAGTGACTTACAATTAACGAGTGTCTTTGTGAATAATGTAGCGAATGAGTGAGTGAGTTGGTAAATTAGGTGGTTAGAAATGAGTTAGTTAGTCAGTGAGTGAGTTACTCGATCAGTTAATGAGTTTTAGTGACTTAAGGAGCGAGTGAGTGAGTGAATGAGTTTGTGAGTTAGTAAGTTAATGAGTTAATGAGTGGTTTTGTAAGTGAATGGGGGAGTGAGTTAGTAAGTTAGTGACTTCATGAGTGCATAAGTGAGTTAGTAAGTTAATGAGTGAGTGAATTTGCGAGTTGATAAGTTAGTGACTTACAATTAACGAGTGTCTTTGTGAATAAAGTAGCGAATGAGTGAGTGAGTTGGTAAATTAGGTGGTTAGAAGTGAGTTAGTTAGTCAATGAGTGAGTTACTAGATCAGTTAATGAGTTTTAGTGACTTAAGGAGCGAGTGAGTTTGTGAGTTAGTAAGTTAATGAGTTAATGAGTGGTTTTGTAAGTGAATGGGGGGAGTGAGTTAGTAAGTTGGTGACTTCATGAGTGCATGAGTTAGTGAGTGAATGAGTGAGTTGATAAGTTAGTGACTTACAATTAACGAGTAACTTTATGAATAAAGTAGTGAATGACCGAGTGAGTTGGTAAATTAGGTAGTTAATGAGTGGGTGAGAGAAAGAGAGCCATGAATCGACACGTGTCGTTTGTATTTATCGCGAGATGTTAAAACGCTGTTTACTCGAGTGATTTCATCGTGAACGACGAAACGCCAACTCGTTGAAAGTTCTCGTCGAGCAATTCAGCAGAGAAATCGCCGAATGGTTCGGTGGTGGCGTTACGCGAATGAGATTAATGGTCGTCGATTAAATACATCGCCGGTTAGTGATTTTAATCAATCTGAATAAGGATAATTGCTCCGAACGTCTGTCGATTAGGGGATTCGTATGTTTCGATAAAGCGGTGGGCTATTCTTTTTGACATTTGTAATAATTATTTTGAAAGGTTTCAAGTGTTCGTTGTTAATTTGCAAATTTTGCCGCGCAACGAACATATGAATATTTGTAATTTGTAATTTTGCCTGCTTTTACAGCAGGCTAAAATGGAAGTTGATAATTCATTCAGAGGACGATTTCGAATACGGTATCTGTATATTCTTCCTGGAAAATTAACAGCTGCGAAATATTGTTAAAACATCCATTATCAACTATGAATGTTCGCAGAATTTTTACTTCGTTGGATAGAAACTTTTTTCACTATTTTTCTTCAGGACTGTTTGAACCTCTCAAGTCATTTCTTTTTGCTACCATAAAAAGCTACTTCAATCATTTGAGATTCACAAATCATTTTATTAATGATACTATCAATTTTTATGAAACATCGTCGAAGTGGTTTCGACAGCTCGAAATCGAGGTTGCAAACCGGGATCGCTCGTTTCACGACACCAGAGATATACGATCACGACATTTGTCCCCGGTGAAAACAGTTTTAACGGATCTCCGTTCTATTTAACCCTAAACACCACTGGGCAAACGTCACAAATCACAAGAACCATTTTACATGCTGCTTGATTGTGGAAATTGACTTTTATTCCGAGGATGAAAGAAAAACAACGACTAAGTGGGCCACACGGTAATTTATGTCTGCATCGAAAGAGTTAATAACTGTTTTATCGTGCCTCTCCTGTAAAAACAGAGAGGAAATGAAGGTTTACTTTGATTTACCACCGGTGGAATAATTTCTGTTCGTATTTTTTCAATTCTCTGTCGTTCTTTCCACATCTCGTTCAGATCGATAATTGATGAAAGAAGAGCAAATTTCAAATCATTTGAGTTCCTTAAAAAAGTTACCAAAAATTCCATACATAAAATTGTAAGAAATAAATAAGGAAATTTTATTTCATCATTTAATATTGTACTTAATATTTTTTTCAATTTAAAATTAGCAGTATTTAATATTTTTAATATTCATTACTCCATTTAATATTTGCATTCAATCTTTTCAATATTTTTTATCATATTTAATATGCTATCTAATCTGTAATATTTTATTTAACATTCTGTTTTATATTCTTTACTTTTTTATTCATAGATCACAAACAAAATTCGACCACGATATACTTAAAAAAACATTAACTGTTTTTCCTACAAGAACAAATCCTAAAGAAAATTTCTCTCTTTTCAGACACAGCGCGATCGACGAAGAGTCGCCAAGTTCGATCTCCAAGCCCCTGACAGCGACTACGCCAGAATCCAGGGATCCTTCGCTGGACATTCCTCTGGACACCTCGAGAAACATCGTTTTTCCATTAGCCTCTAGCGCCTCTACCGATCAATTCTCCTCCGTTCGAAGATTCGAGACAAGAACAGCTTTACCATGCAAGGAATCCACCAGATTTCAATATCCAACAACGAAAAAGGAGTCTCTGAGCATCCTGAATAGGTGTCCTTGCTCTCTGGAGCAACCAGTGAAATCACTAATCGAAAAACCAAGTCTAGACAGACCAACGGACCAAATAACAGACAGATTCATCTACTCAAAAGGCAAAGTTACAATTAATTTACCCTCTGAAGAGACAGCTACCTCGAAAATCAAGGATCTTGAGGATTCTTCGAGGATTCCATCAAGTCCTGAAGATATTTCTGACCAAGAAGTTATAGAAGTGCGAAAGGACAGTGCTTTGTTCTTGGAGGAAGCTGAAGGGCTTCCCACTTTGAGGGAAATCCTGAAATCTAGAGCTCCAAGGATCATTAGACCAAGAAGAGAGAGCAGTGGATACGCGAGCAATTTGGGAACATTTGACGAGGATAGAAGGAATTCGTCGTCTGCAGACGTGTCACAGGATTTGTCCTTGTTCTTCAAAGAGAGGAGGAGATCTTCGACTGGACCTAAGAGGTTGAATTCGAGAGTGATCCTGGGGAGAGCCGAGGAGAGCCTGACTGAGGACGCCGAGGTTGAAAGGATGCCTACCACAGAGGTTCACAGAAAAGTGTCTGCAGCTGGCTTGGATATGCCTAATATCGAGGAGGTGAAGGAGGTGCTGAGGGATGAGCTACCTTTTAGACAAGAGAGTCTGGATAATCTGTGCAGTCTGATGAAGAATGTCAGCACTGGTAAGTGGACATTATTTATTTATTTTCATAGATATGCACCCATTTGTATAAAGAATGCTTTAGTTACTTTTTGGATCTTTGAAATGTTTGTGTCTCTAATTTGAAAAGATTTACATGTGTTCTTTAGCTACTTAGAAATATGAAATTTAGTATTTTCTTGGATTTATTGTTGATTTTACAGTTTGATGTTTTCATGAACATCCTTTAATTGTTACAATACAGTATTTCATAATACTTGAATACATTTTGAACCTCAACAGTCTAAATAATTAATCTTAAATAATCTTGAGCTACTTGAAACTTAACATATTTACAAATTATGTAGTCAGCTTTTGTAAAATCCCAAAGTACAAGTTGTTCCCTTTTCCCTCCATCAGAGGACTTCTCCCCACGCTGTCGCCTCTTAGGAGAGCCAACAGACCGCATCACGTCACCAAGGGACTCAACAGACGTCTCAATTACCTCCGGGCACAAAGACACAACGCCAATCTTCGACACCACTTCCCTCAGCGACTCTATCAACCGTCCAACATCTCCATCTTCAAAGAGTCCAACTCAACTTACTCGTCATTCTGTTAGTTCATTATCCTCAAACTTAACATCTCAAAACACCATCAAACCCATTAATATACCCAACGATCCTTGGAATCAATCAAAAGCTATCAGTACTGAAAGATCTAGGACTAGATCCTCGAGAATCAACGAAGAACACTTGAGAAACGTTCCAACTCTTCAAAGTAAAAATGAGACAGTCCAAGCACCACCTACCAGAGAGGATATTCAGTTCAATGTTCTTCCAAGGTCTGTCAAAATGTACCAATTTCTCTCGACTCAGTCTGAAGACACAGCCGAGGGTGAACAGTACTTGGACAGAAGGATATCCTTTCAAATATCCAAGCAGGACGACGAAATTGCTTCTGCTGTATCATCCGCAGAGTCCAGGGGTATGTCTTTAAACAAGTCTTCGAGTGTTTATACATTGAAGAACAGCGTTTCTGGGGATATTCAAATGTTGACGTCTGCTGATGCTGCTGATGACTTGAATATTAGAAAGGCAATCACTCCTGGTGAAGTGGGTGCGAGCCAAAGGTTCCTTGGAGACGCCTCTAATGTCTCAGTGAGGCCTATTTATCCTTATTGCCCTTACTCGCCCTATGGGAGTCCTCAGGGGTCACCTAGGAACAGGAGGAGGCCTCTGAGGGAGAGCAGGAGAGTTTCCATTGATAACAGGCAAGGAGCTCTTCAGCTGAATCAGTACAAGTTGTTGGATAACATTGGCCAGGTGAGTTGGAACTTTTTTTCTTTTTTTTTTCTTTGAAAATTTTTAAGGCGACAGTTATTGGAGGATTTTTACTTCTGTGTTTGTTGAAATTCTTCCATATTTTTCTGCCGAAAATTCACGACAATTCTTTCACATTTTGTTAACACTTAAGTCCCGTTTGAATATCCGAGTCCTATTTTTTCTAAACTAATATGTTCTTATTTTTTATTGCGTTGTAAAGACTTTAATAATTATTAATTTTTTTCTCCTCGTTTTGTTACTCTTTAAGTCTCATTTTCAACGAAATATCAGGCCAATTAATGTCTCAGTTTTACCAACAACAGAATTAGTTACAATTATTTTTCTAACCTTTAAGCTTCCTTTTCAACGAAACACCGGACGCCAGAAATGTTTTTAATTATTTCATCCGAAGCAATAGAACCGAAATCATTCATTCGTAACATTTATCCCTTATACACAGCGCGGTTTGAATTTTGAACGAAAACAGTCGCGACGTTTCTGGCCGCGTTTTCAATCGCTGAAGCCGGCGCGGCGGTGGGATCAATCGTAATTTTTCCCGCCGCGTTGCTCGACGTGTCCCATTTTCCCGCGAGAGAATTATTCCATCGGAACCCATTATTCGCGAGAAATTTTAAAGTCAGTTTCGAGCCACGACGATTTGTTTTAATCGCTTTTAATTGTATGGCCTCTCGCCTCTAATTAAACTTTCTCGTTAATTCTACCGTATTACTTTTCGAAACGGCAATGTTTTTTACGTGCATAGAAACAAATATTTCTGGATTAATTAAATGGATAAACTGGATTATATTCTACTCGTTGAATGTAAGAAAGATAAGAAAAGAAATTCGTTACGTTTTACGACATTGAAATACATTCAAGAAAAACGAGGAGTCAATTTAGGCCTAGAAAGATTTCTCTTCTTTTTTCTTTTCCTCCGAGATAGTATCGCACAAATTGCTCCAATTTCGTAAATTACCCATTCATTTTCCTCTCCATCGCCGCTGCTTCGCGGGAGAAAATTTCCTCTCCAGACAAGAAACGGCCGTCGAAGAGATATTTATTTTTATTTATTTATTTATTTTTACGGGAAGATTTCCCAATATATTACACAAGAATAGGTTAACACTACCACATTTACAAGACTCTGTCACTATGTGTTATGAAGGAGTGAGTAGAAACATTGAAGAAATTAAATATTGTGCGTGCCAATATTGGATTTTCTCGAATTTCTCTGATGTATAGTTGTTTCTGTATGTGTGATTGTTTCTTTAAGATGAAATTTCCACGATTGTTCATTGTTTTTCGTTTATCTGAAACCATGAGAAAGTTCTTTTCCGAGTGAGAAAATTGTACAATTTGAAAATTTCGTGACAAATGTTTTTATTTGAAAAATTGATAATATAATCAAGTTTCTCTCCTTCTTCTTTGACGTCGATCGAAACGATGCGTAGAATTCGCCCCGTGATTTCTTCACGACCAGCCAGCGTAACTTTCCAAGTTCATCACGTCACACCCTCCATGTTCCTCGTTTTAGCTAATTTTCGCAACGTTCGTGCTTGCCGAATGGAATTCCTCGTCCAGTTATCGACGAAAACGAGTTATCGCGGGAAACGGCAACTTTTGCTCGATAGCGACGACACGAGGACGAACTTGTTCCGTGACGAGAAAATGTGGCTCGTTTGAAGAACAGGAAAAATGTGGAAAGTAGTTTGAAAAAGTTAAAGTACTTTAGCCAACGATAAAAAAGGATTATTAAACGATAAGATGATCTTTTCGCGAGCGTCCATTTTGGTGGCGGTTTTTCTTTTTCTATCGAAGATCCTGATATGAAGTTTTTCAATTATAAAATTTTCCGATTATTAATATTCTCTTCTGAATACTAAATTTCCAGTTATTAATATTTCAACATCGAACTTTCCAAACCGTCATTTCAATTTTAAATGTGCGTTCATAAATGTTTTTCATCCTTCACGTTACAGGGTTCTTATGGGATCGTGAAGCTAGCTTACAACGAGGAGGACAAGACCCATTACGCCATGAAGATTCTGAGCAAGAAAAAATTGATGAAGAAGGCGGGTATCTTCGGCAGAATGGCCCCAGGCAAAAAAGGCTCAGCCAACCCTTTGGCAAAAGTTTATAGGGAGATCGCGCTGTTGAAGAAATTGGATCACCCGAACGTGGTGAAACTGGTTGAAGTCCTCGACGATCCAGACGAGGACAACCTTTACCTTGTTTTCGAACTGGTCCAGAGAGGGGAAATTCTTCAAGTACCCACTGACAAGCCTTTAGACGAAGAGACTGCCAGAAAGAACTTCCGTGACGTTGTATTGGGCGTGGAATATCGTAAGCACCCGTAAAAACTATACTTCGTACTTCAAATAGTTATAAGAAGAAGAACGAGAGAAGTAAAAACTTCGTCAAAAACTATTAAGTGTGAATTTTGATATGAATGAACGAAGGTATAGACGAGACGAAATATTTCCTCCGTTCAGTCACTGGACTGCTTCCCCCACCATACCACCTGTCCCCACTTCGTCAGGCCCTCTAGGGGCGTGGCTAGTGCGTAGTCTAATGAGAATACAGTGCAACAGGTGGTGGGGAGAGTGTCCTTGGGGCACACAATCTTTACGTCAGACTATACAAAGCATATTGTTAATGTTTCGATCTTATTTAACCTCAAGATCGAACAATTGTGCGTCGAAGTTTTGATTAAGCGTGAATTTAAAATGAATATAAAAATCCAAGATACCTAACATGCATATAGATTTGTAAAATTTGACAGTTTTAAAATCCTCTTTTTTTTTTGTTTTGTTTTTGTTCAGTGCACTACCAAAGGATAGTCCATCGCGATATCAAACCCAGCAACCTGTTGGTGGACAGCGACGGTCGCATAAAGATCGCTGACTTAGGCGTGAGTGCAGAGCTGAGAGCGTGTGGGGAATTATTATCCGGGCCAGCTGGCACCCCTGCGTTCGCGGCACCCGAAACAACCACACCTGGCGCCCATTATTCCGGAACGGTAAGTACCTATCCTCTGATCGATTTTCAATTCCTCTCGTATTTATAGGCGACGAAGAATTACGACGCCGCCTCCATTCAATCGCATCCATACCTTTCGCTCGCGCCATTGTTCTTTTTTACAATTTCGTATTACGAATGGTAACGGTGGACATCCGTTTATAGTGTTTCATGAATACTAATATAGGGTACCTCAGTAATACAAATAGACAAAGAATAATTCCTTATGGAAAATTGAATTGAAATTGAGAAACTCATCGCATCACTGTTAATCATTTCTATTCATGTTAGTATTTTCGGAAATGGATATTCAGGTTGAATATCGGTTACAATGAATTTAGAAATTTCGAATTTTAATTAAAACTTTCATTTTTCCTGACTTCTGAATTGACTTCTGAAACACCCTGTACATCGTTCTCGCAGATTCAATATTCACAATATTCAAAAAATTGAGGTTATGTATGAAGGTTACGGTTATGGTTATCACAAGCTGTTCTCCAAAATGGCGCGCGTAAAGTGTCTCGGGTAACCAATTAAAGAAACGAATGTATCTCGAATGTGTATTGTGAAAATTTTATTCAGGTTACAGTATTTCTTTATCCAAGAAAGTATAGCGATCGTAAAGAGATTGTTTATTGGTCGATTTAATGCGTTACGAGGGGTTGGACAAGCTGCAACCCAATTTCTCCGGGAAGAAAGTTTCTTTGTACTTGAAGTTCACCTGCATATTTCACGAGAACGTAAGAAATTGATGTCACTTGGCGGGCAACTCGTTTCAAGAGTTTCCGGCCGCGTTTCCTTCTTTGTACGCGTGTGGTTAACATTAAACGTGGCCGCTCAAACTTTTCGATAAGAAAGTTAGACTGCTCTACCATTTCTCTTCGATCGACCGCCACTTTATCGATGATTCATGCCGCCGTGACATAGAATTTAGTTCACATTTACTCTGAATTAAGTGCACGCTCAATTTAAACGATATCTAACCTCGTTGGTTTTAAGGTGAATTAAATTAAGATTTGTAGGTTATGTTTTTCTTGGATGTGTCGTATTAAACGATAGAGAGTGGTTTGCTTTGGTTTTTTCGAAAGAGCATTTCATCTCTAAAAGTTTTACTGTAGTTCTTTGATCGTTTTATTGTTTATAAAAATGATTAAATTACGAGGCTAGAAAAATGGTACATTTTTATATAAATAGCTCGCTTTGTGCTTTCTTTGCGCTTCCATTCATTGCAGCACAATCTTTTTGAACTTTTTAGAAATAGCAAGAAAAATCGATGCATATTTTTCCTCGTTGAACAGCAGACTGAAATTATCACTTGAAGCGCTACTGTTACGCCTGTGTCAGGCAGACGTGGCCAAAGAAGCGTGTACTTCGCCACGGGTCAACATAATTCCACCTCTTTCGTGTGTATTTCCATGATTATAGCTGAGACTTATCGCGTGACCTTATCGAAAACGCGGTCGATTTAACGTGGCCCTCGCATGCTCGATACCCACGTGAACGATACGCTGGCCAATTCGTGGAACGGTTGAGAACTGTGATTACCAATCATCGCTGCCATTTTCAGAATTGCATTGTGGCTAAAATACCACTGTTCACCGTGAAACAGGAGTAACATCGAAATTACCGCTTATGAAACGAGATAAGCTCTTGGGAGTGATTTTAATTTCAAATTAGGAAGTTGTGCAAATGTTAACTTTGATATTGAACTCTAAAATCTTGCGTTTAGAGTAGAAGAAAAAAAAAGCTCATCGTTTGGCATAAAATAAGAGTAACATTAAAATTGAACCCCTTGAAGTGACCTCACATGATCTGGACAATGATTTTAATTGCAAGTTTTTAGGTTATAGAAACATTTAATTGTTTAGCATAGAATGAGCGTAACATAAAAATTGATCCTCATAAAACGATCCTGACCTCTTGAGAGTGATTTTAATTTCAAATTTTAAGGTTACAGGAGATTTAATTGCGATATTAGAATATCAAAAAAAAAAAAGTTATTATTTTACATAGAATAAGAGTACCGTAAAAATTGACCTTGGTGAACTTGAGAGTGATTTAAATTTCAAATTTTCGTGGTTATATTAATCACTAACTGTAATACTTAGTCATAAAAATCATTTCTCTGTGTTTCGAAGTCCACTATTTAGCATACAATAAAAATAGATATTCAATATTAACCGTCTTGAAATAATGCAGGCTCTGATAGGTTATTTCAATTTCAAATTTTTAGATTATGGGAACACTAGCAATGATATTTAATTCTTAAAACATATCTCGTCTATTCCAAACACTTATCAGCATCAAAAGTGACCTTGCTGGAGTAACCTAACCTCTAAAAAATAATTTCAATTTTAAACTTCGAAGTTGTAATAATACCAACGCTGATTTTCCATCTCAAAAATGTATTTTACGATCCTTTCACGTTCCAGTTGTGCGATGTGTGGTCAATGGGGGTGACACTTTATTGTCTGGTGACCGGAAGAATCCCGTGGGACGGCTCCGGAAGTATAATCGGCGTGCAAGCGGCAGTTCGTACTGAGCCGCTGAAATTTCCGGCAAAGCCAACCGTCTCCGACGATCTACGCGATTTGATCTCGAAAATGTTGGCCAAGGAGCCAACAGAAAGGATCACACTGTCAGAGATCAAAGAACACGCATGGCTGACCAATCACGGCGCCCAGACACTGCCCAGTGAAACCGACAATTGTCGACTTCCGGTCACTGTTACAGACGAAGAGGTGGAACGAGTGGTCACGAGGATTCCTAAGTTGGACACACTGATTCTTATCAAGACTATGCTGAAACAGCACAGCTTTCAGGCAAGTAGTTTTATGTCACAATTTCAAATTTCGCGCCATTTACTACGAACGATATTGAGTACAGTATTGAATAAAATATCGGAGGAGAGGTTAGGAAGTGTTTGCTATTGGTATCGGTTGTATGATGTAACATTAAATCCACTTTTTCCACTATTGAGACAGATCGTACCTGTACTTATTCAAACTTCGGCCACAAATCGCGAACAGCAATTATCGGTATTCGATAAACTGTGGATTAGTTCTGGCCGGTTCGTTGAAAACTACTGCAATGCCGGGAAACTTCACCAATACCGGACTTTAATTAATAAATCCCGCGTTTGAAGTATTACCTCGTTGATATGTCCATCGACTAGTTACTTCCGTTATGTACTTGGAACTTTTACTCGAACAAATTCCGTTTGATCGTTTAATATCGTACAGAATGCTTCAGAGAGTGTAACATCGTAGTTAGTCTATAGATTCGTGACTGTTGATACAGTAAAAAGACGAATAATTTTTTAACCAGTGTACTACATACTATTTTATGACGCAATTAGAATTATTATATTTTAAAATACTTGTTCAGTTTAAAAACACAAGAAATAGAAAACGTGTCGCCATAGGGCCAATAATCTAATTCAACGCTCCAAACATGGCGGCTAGTTCCTACGAGCTTGGAAAGGTCGAGATGGGAATCCTTATTGATAATTCTAACCGACGAAACTTTCCTCTTTCGTTTCTTTTACATCGACCTTAATGCTCGACGTCGTTAAGGCTCCTTCTTAATACGCAACTTTCATCGCGCAATTTTTCCTCCTTCAGTAGGTAGGGGTATTAAGACGATGATAGTTATCGCCAAGTCGTCTTGTATAATTGGGAAATGGAGTCTCTACATCCTCCTGAAATTGTTCGCCTTTTACCATGGCTCGGCTATATACGCGGACATTACCGATAAAGCGCAGCCAGCTGTAAACATCGACTTGATTCTTCGTGATTCCACTGGTGTCTCAGAATGAATCCTTCATAGCTGAGAACGAGACGATAGAAAGATACCGAAGCGTGGTAATTTAAATAATTTTCCTCTTGGAACTAAACAAATCGTGAAACAAATATTTCAACAAACTTCCTCCTACGGAAATCCCAGTCCACCTAAATTTACCACTCGCCATTAAATCATTAAAGCCTGTTACAAACTTTCCAAGAAACATCCAATATCCTTCAAACTTGTCCGTACGCCGCTAGAAGCGCTCGAGTCGACTATTGTGCGCGTCCCAAGGCTCGTAGTGGCGCCGCTGCGTCCTTGAGCGATCGAAATCTTCGGTACGGATTATAGCCTGCGCACGATCGTCAATTAGACGCTTTAATGAGATCATTCGATCACAGAACGAGCTTCTGTCGCCATAGGGGTTCAGTATAGAGTATTATAGAGTCGTTCAGAGCAGCTCGATCATTCCCACTATATAAAATAGGTGGCTGTTGAATTTCATTTGCGGCCGACATTTGATCTTCTCGTCCCGACGACGAGCAACGGGAGGTCAAGCCTCTCTGTTTCTCTGTTTATGACGCGAACGGTCTCTCTGGTGGCGTGGAAAAGCTCGCCACGTCTCTCTCTCTCTCTCTCATTCACTCTCTGGCCTTATTATTTGATGAGCACTCGCCAGTCGATATCAGCCGAGTTCAAGGAAGGCTGACGGCTCCGTAAACACGGCAATAATGCCGTGAAGTGCGGCGTCATAAAGCGTTGAGCACCTTTTTACATTTTTTCCCCCGTGTTCTTCTTTTTTTTTTTTAACCCTGCTTTCTTCTCTCTTCTTCTCCTTTTTCTTTTTTTTTTCTCTCGTCGTCGCCGCCGTCGAGGGTTGGCACGTCGAGAGTAGATGGAAAATGGAGGCATGAAAGCCTGATGTTCGATCTTTGGAAAATATTTTCTTAATAACGAGGACAGATGAAGTAAAATTTCTCAAAGATTGTTTCGCTTGAAATGAAGATTCGAAGACAATATTTAAAAATTTCCCCAAATTCTGCAAGTTCTCCGTATGAAATTTTAATTGCATCCGTTGCAACCAGTCTAGAATTAAACGCAGAACTATTTTCTCCGCTTGTAGAATCCTTTCCTGTCAAAAAAGAGCGGCAAAAGGACGTGCACCGACACAGCGGTGAACAGTATAGAATTGTCGTCCCCGTCAAGAAGAGCCGAGGAGAGCTTGCCAGGCAGGAAAACGATCAGAAACGCGAAGTCTGAGCGATTCCAAAGGACTGGCAGAAGCAATTCCGCGCCGGACTCCTACGACTGGCAAACAAATGGCAGGTAAACAATCTGGAATAACCAATTTTTTACGCTCCAGTTATTCCCGTCGATATCGCTTCGAGAATTCTTCGGAGGCTATTGAAACCTCGAATAACCGATATTGAAGCGAAATAGAATTTACAAGTTAAGAGCCGTCGTTATTATTATCTCGAAACTTTCCGTGCTATGTATTGCTTGTTCGATGATTGTTTTCTGTTTTATCGATCGAGATGGTAGAAATTCGAATCTTCTTGGACGATGTTGCGGTTGTGGTTCATCGGTGTAATCTGTCTGATGTTTTGAAGAGTTGAAGTTGTGAATAGCGGTTCTCAATCTTCTCGAGTATCGAAATGAATTAATTTGAAATAAATATTGAAAGGAAAAGATTGATATCAGCGAAGTCAGTTTTCTGAGTGTGTCGAAATTGTTGTTAGAGTCGTACATTGTGGTTTTTATTTTTTTGTGTTCGTTTTTGGAATTTTTATAGACAAATATCCATAGACAGTCCTCTGCCGCCGCTGACAGAAGCGTCCAACCAGGAAACAGAATTCGAGAGGCGGTGATACTGCTGAGAAACTCGGACCTGCTCTACGAAGAGAACCACGATCAACCATCTGGTTGATGAACACGGTATGAGCCGACTTAACATTCGATGATCGAATTAAATTAATCGACTGAGCGTGTGCCCGATCGTTGAAGGCTGAAAAATTCGCAGAAAAATTTACGAAAATTTCGAGTTAAACAGAATTTCAGACGTTTTTTTCTCTGCAATAAATATTCAGATATTAAAGAACGAAGGGTAATTTTCGAGCGTGGAAAGTTGATAAATTGGAAGTATTAAAAAATTCTTCTTTCGTCGCGAAATATTTTCAGTTCACAGAATTTCGAACAAAAAAAGAAATTATTGAGACATTTTGTATGAATTGTATTCCTCGAAAATTACTGTGCTGAATTCGTAAACAGTTTTTCGAACGCCTGTCGAAGGCAATTAGGTACGCTCCTTCGCGAGTAAGTACCCATGGACAAAACCAGGTGATTACAGGCGTTTGACCAGTTCTAAATTCGCCTTAAGGGGGTATTTTTCTTAGGGATTTTTTTGTAAGGAAAGTATAAGTTTCTCAGTATCGGCATTTTGCATACGTATTTACTCATGTTTTAAGAAAGTTCACAATTATTTTCAAGTGAAGATAATCAAAACTGTCCGAATTATACATCATTCAGTGCGGTCCCTTCAGAAGAAAGTGTCCTACTGGCTGACACGATCCCACCCATTCTGTTTATCCGAAATGAAAAAACCAAAAGGATTCTTGATTAGTACGACTGTGACTATAGTGTGAACCAGAATGAAAAAAAAATAGTGAAAATTTACAAAAAGGCGGCACTTTGAATATGAAGTATCGATTTTTTCGACATTTTTTCGTCTATCAGAGGCTCTACAAATCAGAAAAATATATATTTTCGCATAATTCTGGTTCAGACGATAACGGCACATCCACTGAAGGTGCATGTAAAATTTGGAGTGAATCGGACAACTAGAACTTGAGATATCATGTCAGCCATTTAGAAAAACATGGTTTCGAGAAAAACGCGTTTAAAGTTTCTCATACCAGCTACACCAGAATGGTAGGGGGAGTTCCCTTAACGCCAGACGGCACCTAATATCGGACGTTAGTTATACCTGCAATAATTGAAACGCCACCGAGCCGTTATTCTACGTATCTCCTAGAGGAGACAAAAGGAATAAAAATAAGTTTTCTTCGCGTTTTACTCGCGCGTGCACAGGTAGAAAGATTTATTTGAGAAAAACCTTAAGCGTCCGGCGCTAGGGGAACTCCCCTTATACTTATGACTGGGGACTGCATGTCGTCTTCTTTAACCATCTACAACTTCGTCAATCTTACGAATTCGGAAAAATCATTCGACAGTTATACTTCTGCCAATGTCTACTTTCAGAAAATGTAAAAACAAAAATCGATTTTTTTTTAAAAGTCTAGACTAGAATACCCCCTTGAAACTCGTCAGGCGATACTCCCGCGATTCCTGAAACTTGAAAGTAACGAATTTATTTGAAATTGTCTGAAAGCATCCAAAGAGGCGGCAAGCTGAAATAATTTTAACGAAACATTGTGGAAACTTTCACGAACAGAATACACACAGATCGAAGACTATTCACGGCTGAGCTGAATTTTCAAAAATAGCTTGTAAAAAATGTAACAACGTATACATTAAGGACGATTAGTTGATAATTTTACGATAAAGAACATTTTTAAACGTCTCTGTTAATTCTTTCAGACGTACCAGAATTATTCAACTAAAATTCTGGACAATATTTAATTTAATATTATAGAATCTAGTTCCCAATTTTTAATAATTACCTCGATGGAATTTAGGTGGCTGAGGTTCGGTATTACAAATGAAAGCCAGATCTTCGAATGAAAATATCAATCGACGATATACAACTTATAAAATTCCTCAAAGTGTAAATTAAAATTTATCATTCGAGCTTTTAAAAAATGAACAGGTTTTACGGGGAATAGAGTCTGAAGGAATTAACGAGACTCTCGAGGCCAGATGGCGTATTCCAAGATGGCGTTTTACTTACGAATTTTATCTAATAATAATTCTAGGGATAGTTGAAAGGAGCGAACTTTATGAGCTGAGTACTGAGATGAAAAAAAAGGAAAGAAATACAAGAAGTTATTAGTATTTTATATGCACGCTAGAACGTAAGGGGCCTGAAAGAAAAGCCTGTTGAGACAACGACATTGTTTATAGGTTAACACGAGAAACGATACGATCGTTACTCCATACTTTTCCTCTTATTTTGATTCTTCTGTGATGTGATCGAGCACACTGTTCGTACTTTTACGCGGCGAGTCTTTCGTGAAACTTACGGCATTTCCAATTTTCGCTGGACAATCGTTTTAATCTTCTTCTAACGCAAGAACAACGCAAATACAGAGGTTAAAACGATTTCTCTGAAAATATTTCTATTTTAAGTTCTAACGTGTAAGCCCTTTATTCTCCAATACATATTAAAAAAAAAAAAAACAAAAAAAAAACTATACGCAGCCTGGGAAAAACAATTGTCACGATTTGTGCGTTTGCAGATTGCAATTCGACACACAGGGTGTTCCAAAAGTAACAAACCGGTGAAAAATTATATTACACCTAAATAACGAAAACACGACAGAGATTAAAAATTTCTTTCTGCCACCCATTATGTGTAAGAAAAATTTCGACCTGCAGGATGGTTAAAAAGTACTACGCTTCGTTCAAAATAAGAATAACCTCGCTCTCGGACCGATTTTTGTCCGTTCTACGCATAGACAGAGAGCGTAGCAGAGGGTAAGACGGAGAAAAACGTAGGCGGTTAAGTGGGGGTTTGGACCCCCGATGCGCGAAGCGAGGTTATTCTTATTTTGAACGGGCAGTACATCATTCAAAAAAAAAAAAAGAAAAGTAAATAAATCACAGTAAAGATACAACAACAGAAATGAAACATTTTTCATCGTGCGTTGTTCAAAAGTAGCACCACAATCTACAGGGTTTCTAAAAAATAACGACTAAATTCAAATTTATCAAAATTCAACGATATTAGAAGAACTCGTAGTACAACTTATGTACCCTGTGTGCCGAAAAGAGAATCGTAAGATTATTTTTCTCAGGCTCGGTGAAACGAAACTAGCGCAAGATGGCGCGGCCTGTACATATACAGTGGCACTAAAAAATTGTGCGACTAGTGCGAAGCACGCGACCAAGTAAACGCAACCAAAGTCAGATTCGTGATTTCGTTGGACCTTACTGATATCTGGGGGACCACAGAACGCGTATTTGAATTTAAATCGATAACCGTCGAAACCTCACGACCGGATATGTTCGATGATCATATCACGTCCCGACCTCACGAATTCTTTCTCTTTTTCTCTCTCTCTCTCGAAACGGCACGATTCAAGGCAGACATTCGATTTCTGGTGTTATTTAATATTTACTAGTGAGTAAAAATAATGGTAGCTGTAAGGGTGAGAAAATGGTGTCACTGGATCGTCTACCGATGTCTGATTCCTGAATTACTGGGAACAAAAGTTTCAAATAGTTTTCCATTGTGGTACAATATTTTGTAATTGGTTAAAGAGCGAGATAAAAACAAAAATGGTCGTTTAAAATGATAATGAACGTTATTCAAGATTTCGAAAGAGAAATTGCATTTCTTTTAAAATGGAGTGTTCTTTTTGTTCGTGTTTTGGTTAGTATGCAGAATGTCTCGTAATTTTGCGTCAAAATAGAGGATAGCTTCGTTGAATTGAGAGTTCGATTCATTTTAGAATCTCTCTATTACAGCGATTAAGCGTTAGTAGCGTAGAAGAGTAATTTTCTTATTTAATTCCTGTTGAATTATTTTCAATCTGTTGGAAGAAGACACCCGATGTATCGGTAGACCTTCTGCGTGTAATCGTTACGGGTACGTGTGTCGTAAAGAGACTAGAATCTTACATTTACGATATTTCTGATGGTATGTAATATTTTGAACTTAAAACAAACCTTCCTCTTCTCTTTCTCTAAAATATTTGCTATATGTCTATATATCGCAGCTTTTATGTGCTTACTCTTCTCAGCTAAATTTTCGAAATTTTATTACTAAGCTTATAATAATCCAAAACTAAAGAAAAAGGAACTAAAAAAATATGAATATTTGTACTGCACTTTACCTTAAACTCTATTCTTAAAAGTAACAAGAAATTGTCTGCCCTTTTAAAAGCATTCTGAAATTTTGAAAAATTCAACGTTTACAATGTCTCCCTCAATCTCGAATGAAAATATTACGTATCTACAGAAATATTTTTCGGTATACTCATCGGCAAAAGCGTTTGAAACGTTTCTCCGATATTCTCGAGCGCTTTTATCCTCCACAGTATCGAATATTGTGTATAATATACATATACATATATAGGTGTATCTCACACGTTACGAATATTCTTACGAAATGCACAAGATATTTTATACCTCGTACTAGATGCGCACTATGTTTCTTAAATCTACTTGTAACAGAATGTACTGGACCGCCTGTGAGTAGAACCGACCGTCAATTGTCGGCCATTTTGAGTTGCACCGACCCTCAATTGTCGGCCATTTTGAATTGCACCGACCCTCAATTGTCGGCCATTTTGAGTTGCACCGAAGTTCTCGAAACGAAAACGTCAACAGAATTAGTTAAGAAAAAATTCTTGAAGAACAGATAATTAAAACTTGGTAATTCGGAAAAGAAAATCAAGAAGGCTTATAAAACAAGCTGAGTGCAAAAAATTCTCCAATAAAAATAGCAAAAAGCACTTTTTTCTTTTTCAATGTTTCAATTGTATGTTAAAAATTATTCGTTATATTGAAAAAAAAGAAATGTGACGACCACCAAAAATGAAAACAAAGCACAATGTTAATTTAAAAAATCTTCAATTTCGAAGTATTTCCCAGAATTTAAGTCTCGATTTATTCCACAAAATTTTCCACGCGAACGAGGCTAAAGATCAACAAGTCTGATCAATTTGAGCCTAATTGAGGGTCAAATATCGGCGAATGATCGATGATTAACGAGACAAGAACCGATCGTCGACGTTGACAGGCACTGTGACCAAGAAACCAAAATGGCGGCTCGATTCATCGAGCCTTCGACGTCGTGCATTGATTCTCTCGACAATCAATCCCATAGACGATTTTAGTTCTTTGTTCCCTCTCTTTTATTTATTTCTTTTTTATTCACTTTTCTCAAAAGACGAAGAAAAGAAGAGGCAGTCGATTTTTGATGTCGAAGTTGAATTACGTTTAATCGTCTACTGCCATAATTTTGACCAGTGGAGACGAGTTGAGGAGCGCGAAATACTTTTACCGATATAAATAAAAAAAAATTCACGCGTTTAGCCGATGTACTTTGGGTAATGTGAATATATACTTAGGTATTAGTGAATCGTGTACACTCCCTTTTTGATATAATTCGTAGGCGGAATTACGATTTTATCCCCTCCTCCCAATCCTCCATTTTGTCTCTTGGCTCGAGTCTGTCGTTGCTGTTTCCGATTCTTGTAATTTTATTCGACCGTTGTAGAGTGTCCTTTTATCAATAATAACGATATTTACAATGTTCACACCCGGTGTGTTTCAATGACCATGAACGTACCGAATGCAAGATGGGCGAATGATTAGCATTTTTGCTTGTGGTACAGTATGTAACAAAAGTTCGTGAATTCTGAGTTTAATAATTTACTAGGACGAAATGGAAGATTTTCATAAGTTGGCAACCCTGATCAGTAACATGAAATTTCTGCAATATTTAAAAAAAAAAAAAAAATGCCGATATGTGAATGAAAAGCTTTTTTCAATCTGATTCTGGAAACTTTTGCTACACATTGTATAATAAGTGACATAAAACGTTTACGTGTATTTACACGATAATATATTTTTTATAGAGTATAGTAATCTTTAAAGGAAATGTGACTAGTATTAAGTTTGTTTACGAAGAGAATGTTTAGTTTGTCTTTTCTTTTGTGCAACTTTTCTGTCATGGTTGATAAGGTAGACGGTGGTTGATACCATTTGGATTGAATTTTCAGTGCTATATCAATACAGTCTCCTAAAGAGAAAATAATAAAATTTTCAGTGTTAAATAATTGTTCATGTTGAAATTTTCGATGTTAAAAATTTGAAAATTCGTATGGTAGAGAATTGGAACTCTAAAATGTGAATAGGGAAAAGCTTCAGTTGTTAAATTTCAATTTGTGAAACCCCTCAAGTACAAAATTTTCATCTACAAATCCTCTAAACTTGAAATTTCATTTCTAAATATTCTAACTTCAACATTTGAATCTCAAATGATTCCAAATTTCTACCTGTGAAATCTCTAAGCGAAAAATTGTAATCTTAAGAAGTCATAAAACTATAAAATTTCCACTTCAATACTCATCGATCCCAACATTTTTATGTCAAAGATCTCTAACTTTAAAATTCAAATCTGAACGAATGTTTATCCTCGAAAATTTGATTTCAAAATCTCCATCCCAAAATACTCTATATTAAAAACACTCTGACCTTCAAAAAATTCAACGCCTAAGAAAACGTATAAATCAAAATCATCTTCATACCTGTTTCCACTGTAGGATAAATTTTTCTGGAGAACGTGAAAGGTTTTTCGACCTTAAGGAATATGCTCTTGTTGATCTTGTTAATGTCCAATTTGGTTCCGTTGGTCAGAGTGGTTGTAAGGCCATCGAGAAAAATGGTCCATCGAGGCTTGAAGTAATCCGCGACAACTCCAGACCATTGTTTGTTTCCGTAGTCCCTTATCTCTCCCCTTGGCCCCCACAGTGTGATCTGATTTCTCGCATTGTACTCGTACAATTTCATCTCTGCCTCGGTACTAGCCAGTTGCTTCGCCATTTCCAACCATCTGCCCAACAGGAAGTCTTTACTAGACGCTAAGATGGCCTCAAGGTCGTCGAAGAGTTCGAGAAGCCGAGCAGCCTGTGACCTGTATGAGAAATTCACCGAAAATTGAAATAATTGAATGGGCTGAGAATGAAAAGTAAAAAATTCCTAAATTTTTTAAAATTATTCGAAAATTGCACTTGAGCATTGTTGCTAGGGTTTTAAGGAATAACTTCGTTTCTCGTTTTAATGATTAGCTTAGCTGCAAATCAGTTCTTTCGATTTCCCGAAAATCAGGTCTAGTGAAATTTTTAGCTTTTTCTTGTCATCATCTACTCAGTTACGAATAGAAAGAAACCTAGTAGATTTGATAAAATCATAATTATTAATATTGAAGAAATTATCA